TTTAGGAGGCCGACGAGCTCTTCAAAAAGATGGTCAAGCGGTTCAGCAAGCAGCAAAGCGAGGTGAGCCTAGGCTTCTATCCAAATTTCCAATTTTTAGGTGTGGCTCCTCTACGCCGAATTCCTGCTGGGCCGTGGCGAGGTGAAGCAGGCGAACAAGCTGATGGAGCAGGCGATGGGATCCGTGTCGAAGGGGCTGGGTACGGTCTCTTCTTGGTTCTGGCTTGTTAGCGGCGGTTGGAAAAGCTACAAAGCAATTTTTTTCGTTTTATTGTGTAGTTTTATAGTCTTGAGTAGTTTTGTATACTACAAAGTCTCTTAAAAAATTGAGAAAATCGTGACAATTTGATTTCTAATAGAAAACATAGGGTTTTTTCCAGAAATCAACATTTTTGAAATGTTTGGTGACTTTCTTTAGTTAAAAACGACGTAAAAAAGTTTTGAAAAACACCGATATTATATTTGTTCGAGCCTATTTGTTTCAAATACCATCTCATTTTCAGGCAAAAAGCTGATGTCTCGCTACGCGGAGGTGCTGCGCGCCAAGGGCCAAGTGGAGCAGGGCAACACGCTGCTGCAGACGATGCGAGGCCCGATTGCCGTCTCCTGAAAAAGCCCCAAAACGCCATATTGTTTTCGTTGTTTCGTCGTGTAGACACACACACAGCCACACATTTTGTTGTTTCGTTGATTTTCCGTTGTTGTTGTTGTTGTTGCCCCCATTAGCGTGTTTTGTTTCTGTTATGATGTTTCACGTTGGATGATAAATTGTTTACTACCAGGCGTCGTTATAAAAAGTGAAATTGACATAAAAAACTTGATTGCCTCAAAAAGATTGCGAAAGAACGCCCCGATTAAGTTAATTTTCTATTAAATTAAACCACCTTTCTTTTAATATAACTTTCGTTAACTTAAAACGACTTAAACTTTAAAGGTCGGCTTATCTATGAGCTTAAAATGCTGATTATATAAGCTTCATCCTACAAGCTAACTAAATTTTGAAAATTTAAGCTTGGGCTTGGCTTGGATTGAATGAAGCCAAGCTTATCCTTACTATTAGGCTTACAGTATCAGCTCCAGTTTCAAGGCGTCTGGAGCCTGAAAGCGTAGTCTGGAAATCTTGTGTAATGAATTTTGCTTAGACTGGCTGTTTTTGCATAGGATTTGGCTGGTATACCGGAAGTTGCCCAAATCTCCATACGTTCCCAGGTATAATTTGAGGTGTTTGCGAGGATGGGGACGTCTCCTCGATTGTTCCGACGATGCGGTCGTGCCTTCTTCTCCTCGTCGCCTTCTGCGTCATCGCCCAGCTCCACGCTCAAAGCACGGTTTTATGCTAATTTGTGTATTGGTATCTCGGGGGCCCTGTTCACCTACAGAGGTGTAAAGTATACCAAAATGTTCGCCTTTGTCTGGCGAGTATTTTGGTATATTTTACAGCCACGTAGCATAAAAGGGAGCCGGGTTACAAAAGTCAAAATTATCCATTTTTTGGTCCAAAGGTATATTTTTACGTGTACTTGTTGCAGATGATGTGCGTGACCGTTTGCTGAAGGCGGCCAGGGCGTTCGTCGAGAGCAGCCCCGATGGGACTCCGTTCGACCGCCCCGAGCAGCTGGACCTCGAAGCCCCGCAGCGCCAGATCAAGAGCGGCAAGATCCAGGTTTTTTTGCTTTTTCCTTATTACGAATTTTTTTAGGTATTTTTATGATTTTTTTCTTTTTCAGAAGCCGCACCTGGACGAGATGGAGGCGTGGGTGAAGGAGTACCTGAAGAAGGTGCCCGGCCCCTCCGTCATCACCACCGGCGAGCACAAGAAGATGGCCAACGACATCCGCGCCAAGCTCGACGAGATGAGCAAGAAGTACGACGCGGCCCCGAGGTGAGAGATTTGATTTTGGCGGTAAATTTCCGCTTTTCAGGCGCAACGTGTTGGTGGGCCCGAAGACGGCGCACGACTCGGAGGCGTTCTGGCACGACTGTCAGCCCGACTCGTGCCTTCTAGTCGAGGACCGCAACGCCGTCGTGCTGATCGTTTGGTAAGGTTTACGGGACTGGGCTATTAGCGGGGGGAAGCTATACCTTCCTTTCGCGATTTCGTGCATCTTTTTGTTATTTTTTATTGCTAAAAATGCATAAAAACAAACACAAACCTGTTTCGAAAAATTTGGGTGATTTATATAAAGTTTCTATGCCTAAAAACGCCCTTTTCAATCCATTTTTCAGGTCGAACGTCCCGCGCGCCAACGTGGCGGCCACGAAGACGAAGGTCGAGCAGAACTTCAAATGGGTGCTCGAGGCGCAGACGAAGTGAGTTTTGATTGTGTTGAACGTGTTGAACGTGTTGAACACCTGAATTAGATACAAATTTGAATCTTCATTTAAATTGCATTTTCAGGGAGCTGTACGCGGCCGGGATCCACATTGGCAGGGCGCTCGAGCACCGCGGCCACAAGCTCGCCCACGACGAGCGCGTCGCCGCCGCCTATGTGAGCGATTTTCCATCCATCAGGAGCTGACACCATGGATACTTATTACAATTGTTAAACCTAAAAAACCTTGCCGTTTTTAAAGTTTTCTACGTTCTACAAGAAAGCAAACCTCTATATAGTTTTTTGAACTTTACAGCTAGTTATTAGGCTTATAACCCGGAGAAAAAGCGGGAACAAGATTTGAAAACAGCGTTGTAAAACTTCATTTACTTTTTTAGTTCGTCGACCGCGGCTACTGCGGAGCGTTGGGCACGACGGCCGACTCGGACTCGGACGATGTGATCAGGCTCTTCCACGACAACGAAAAGGATGGCCCTGGCGATCGACTGTGCTACAACTATTTCCTCTTCATCTGATCACTCTCTCTCCCTCGCCCTCCCCCCCTATCTATCGCCTCCTCCCCCATCTCTCTCTGTAGCCATCCCTCAGCCATTCTCTCGCCCCCTGCTTTCGATTTGTATGATTTTTTGTATGTCCCCGTGCTAAATAAATGGTGAGTGGAAATGCATCGTACATTGGAAATTGTCGGAATATCGAAGTTTTCGGATTGTTGCAATATCGAATTTTCGTAATTGCAAAAAGGTTTGGTTCGTATTGTCAAGAGTCTCGGCGTCCCGAATCAGCCATGCCAAAGAAGTGGTTCTAGCTAGTGCTAGCGTCGATAGGAACCCAGCGTAGTTCCAGGAACAGATTTCGAGGTTCTTTAGGATTTCCGGGGAAGTATTTCCGGGGAAACCAAATTTTTTCCTGGTTTTCCCGGTTGACCTAGTAATCAAATATAAAGTGTTTTCACATTGTTTTTAGTAAATTTTAACTATATTTAAAGTAGAAAAACCTTTCAAAAAAGTTAGAAAAATGTTTGAAAAAGTCGAAAATTGGTCATTTTGGGTCTTTCCCCCCCCCGCTAATCCTAAAGGTTCTATAGGATTTTTCGACCTAAAATTAAATTTTTTAATTAAAATGTGGGTAGTTTTTATGCTCAGGAATAGTTAAAAACCATTTAGAAACGCATGCGCTATTTAGAAAAAAATTTAGGCTTGGGCCGAAAAATTTGGTTTCCCCCGGAAATACTTTCCCCCCCCGGAAATCCTAAAGAACCGATTTCGATACTAAGTGTTCTACTGTAGAATTTTTCGATTCGAGGACTGCCAAAATAGGAAGTTTGCGCTAGAGTATGTCTCTTTTAGTTTTATCTTACGTTTCTAGAAAGCAGCCAGCGAAAACCAACTTTTTTTCATAATCGTAAATTTCAAATTTTTTAAAGGGATGCCGACGGCATAGACAATCGGTTACGCGCTGGAAAGAAAATGTCTCTGCGCCTCTCCCCTGTTGGCTACTTGCCAATTTGTTGCTGAGGGGGGATCGACACATGCCGTCGGCAGCCCGGTTCTGTTCTATTTCGCGGGGGGGACAAAACTGTGCGGGGGGGAAAATTTTCTTCGTTTTGTTATAACTCTTTTATATGATGCTATTTTGAGTTGTAATTAAAACTCTTCGTATATTTTTTGCCGCTCTATCGAATGACATTAAAGAAATTTTTGAAAGTTATCGAAAATGTCGAAAACTAGCTTTCGACTCCACGATCCCATGTGGAAACACCCAATAAACCTTGTTTTTGCTATAACTATTTTATAAAACAATATTTTTAGATGAAATTAAAACTCTTAGTATATTTTTTGATGCTCTATCGAATGACGGGTTCAAAATATCGAAAGAATGGCGAAAATGCCGAAAACTAACATTCCGGAACCAGTTTCAATACTTTTTTTGTTCTTGCTATAACTTTTTTATATTACAATATTTTTAGCTAAAACAAAAACTCTTAGTATATTTTTTGATGCCCTATCGAATGGCGTTGCAAAAATCCCGAGAAAATAGCGAAAAGATGGAAGATTCCGCGAAGCATATTTCCCCCCCGCACAGTTTTTTCCCCCCCGCGAAATAGAACAGAACCGGCAGCCCTTTAAGGTCCTTGGTATCATCAGAACCACCTGATTTCCCACTATAACCTAGGAATTAATGTATTTCAAAATTCGTTTTAGTTTATCGTTTTAAACCTTAGAACCTTTAGTCCGTACATTTTTTTTCGCGTCTATATGAGTGGTTTGTTGTTTAGCCACGGGATTGTCAGTATTTAGAGGCGAGGTAGACGGGTGAATTTTCGAGTTTTCTCAAGAACCGTTATTTCATATATTCGAAAATATGAATAATAATAATAATAGGACATTCACTGGTATATTGGGGTATCGACAACGAGCACAAATAATACATTTTCGAGGGCAGGGTGAGCGAGCGGAACCAAGGCAAATGGTAATACAGGCAGAGGAAATTCCGGGAACGGATTGTTTTGGTCATTTCTTAGAGTCTGTAGTCTACAAAAGTGGATATATCCCCGTTTTTGGCAGTAAGGCGCGCGGAATACGGTTGGGTTGTTTGTCGGTTTGCGGAGCGGAATGTGGTGTGGCGTGTAGTCGATTGGCTGGCTGGCTGCGCGAAAAGTGGCACTTTATAAAATGTGCATCCTGAAATGTATAGATAACTGGCGGATGCTTAAACTGTTTTTTTTTATTGCCTACGCAAATGCTTCACAAATTTTTTTAACAAAATTCGACATTTTCGACCGAGATTTTCAATTTTTTACCTTTTGCTTTAAAAGTACAGATTTTTCGTCTCTGATTTTAACCTTTTTGTTAGCATATTGAGTTATAACCTTTTCTAAATAGTTTTCTACTCGAAATACAGCTAAATTTTATCGAAAAAGCATATCTGCGCCGCGGAAAAATTCGGCTTCCTTCCCCCCACCCGCTATTGATAAAGCTCCGCTAAGTTAGGCTCCGTACCCGTTAGTGCTTGTCGAATCGTCGAGATGCGCTTTTCCATTCTCATAGACGCCATCGTCATCCTCGTCCAGCTCGTCCAAATCGGACAACTCCTGGTCGGACTCGCCCAGGTTGTGGGCCAGCGCCGCCTGAAAACATTTCATAGTTGCACTTTCTTTTAATTTTATTTATGAAAGTTTCTATTGCCTTTTCCCTCTAGTTACCTGCAGGTTGTCGATGCGTTTGTTGGCCATCTTGAGCTCGGCTTGCGCGCAGGCCAGCTTTTCCAGGAGGCCCTCCGACTCGTCGCGCTGCAATTCGCAGATTTACGTTGTTTTTGCGTTTTTTTCCGTACGGTTACTACGTACATCACGTAGTAACGTAAGTAACTTATAAAACCTGAAAACCGTACCTGCAACTTCAGTCGGTGATGCCCCTCCGTATCTCGTTTTCGCATCGTCTCCAGCGATTCCTGGCCGGCCACAAGCTCTTTACGAAGCTGAAAAATAGGATTACTAACTTTAAAGTAGGTCGTTTAATAGTTTTTAGTGAAATCTAGCTATATTTCAAGTCGAAAAACTGTCTAGAAAACTTAGAAAATTTTAAAAGTGTGAAATTTGGTGGAAAATTAGGTTTTTTTTGCGATCTTTTGAACATTAATTAGTTTCAGGGCGAGTTTCAAGGCTATTTGTATAAAGCATAATTCTCATTAATCATTCGAAAAAATGTAAAATCCGGGCGGAAATTGATCTTTTTTGGCCGAAAAATTGACCCTTCTATTTTTTTGTATCAAAACTTGTAGGTTTTGCATGTTTAGAAGTGGCAAAAAATAGCCTAGCAACCTTTTATCATACACCTTTATCTATATTAGCCAAATTCCATTCCAAAAAAAAACATTAGACAAAATTTTCTACGCCAGATTGCTCTCAACGAACGTTACATTACCTTTTTCGCGGCTTCAATCTCCCTATCGCGGGCAACATAGGCCTCCTTCATCTGCTCGGTCAATGCTTCAGCCTCATCGGTTGATCGGTGCAAATCCGACTAAAAATTTAGGCATTAAAAAAACCTACTTTCTCCCACGAACCTCCAACTTTTGCTTCATCATCATCTCCACGTCCAACTTTGCCTCCAGCTCGCGAATCTTCTGATCGGCCAGAATCAGCTTGTGCTTCTCCACCGTGTGTTGCTCTAAAACGATATTTATTCCGCGGTAGGAAATTAGAAATTTGACATTTTAAATTCGAAAATTACCCAAAAATTCGAGCTGCGAACTCCGCTCGTTCAACTGCTCGGCCAGCTTTTGCTTTGCCCGCTCGAGGTCGGCAATCTGAAAATAAGTTGGAATCAGGATTTTAGGATGCGATTTATAAGCCTTTTTACGCTAAAACTACCGGGAAAATGTGATAATTAAAAAGAACATGAAACCATGAAAAACAAAAAATTCTGACATTGCCGGGGATCGAACCCAGGCATTTTGTGTGCGTAAGAGGGTAGAAAGTAGAACAATTAAGAACTTCGCTAGCATTTGTGGGCTAAAAACGATCCAGACACTGTACTAATCAAAAACGATTACTCCACCCTAATCTTTTCACTTTCAGAAGATTAAATCCCAAAAAGCAAAAAATTCTTCCGTTGCCGGGAATCGAACCCGGGCCTTATGGGTGAGAGCCATAAATCCTAACCACTAGACCACAACGGAGGATGGGAGGGAGGCGGCGGGGCGGGCTGAAAGGCCACGGCTCCTAAGCGAGAGAGTGGAGCGAGGGTGGAGGGGCAGACGCCGGGGGGTCGGGGTTACACAACGAGGAAAATGCCAGGAAAATCGCGTTTTTACGCCATTATTTTCAATACAGTTTAATAAAAAAATGCAGTAGCCTTTCCTAAGCCTTAAAACGGACCTGTTCAATATAGTCGGCAATCTGAATGCCATCAATATGACTTTGCTGGACGGCGGCCTTGTATTTCTTGAGAAGCTGCTGGATTTGCTCGTCCTGAAAATGTTTTTTTATGGTTTTACAGGAGCATCTAAAAAAATTTTTAGTGAAATTGTATATTCTATCAATTACCTTATCGTCAAGCACGGCTGCCGTGCTGTTCTTCTCGCGCATCAGCGCCAGCACCTTCTCCTCGGCCGCCGATTTCCCGGCCAAAAGTTGCTCGATCTGAACAGGGCGTTATAAATTTGGTTCTTTGGCATTATCGGGGGAGCCTGATTTTCCGAAAAGTCCAGAAATGCCTTGTAAGGAAATATTAAGTGTTATAATCCTTTTTTTAGCAAAATTTAGCTATATTTGAAGTGGAAAAATGTTACAAAAACCCGGAAAATGGAAATTTTGTCGAAAATTGGGCATTTTTGATAGAAAATCGATAGTTTGTAACTTATGAGTGTAGAAACGTTTTGTTAAGACCCCCGAAATTTTCACAAACCTGTGCCCTCAATTCGTTGAGTTCCGACTCGAGCCCGTGCCTTCCCTTCAACGCCGACAGTTTTGTCGCCTCGGCGTCTTCGAGTTGATCGCTAAAGTGGATATTTTCTGATATAAAATGGATAGCATACCGTAACTGTCGAATGAGGGCCTGTCCCCCATTATTATCACGCTCATGGGCGAGAACGGTCTGCGTGTCAGCGAGCAGGGCAAGCGCTTTGCGAAGCTCTCGCTTGTAGTGCCCACCCGATAGCTCGAGCCTGAAAAATGGGCTTGATAATGTGAGATATTGCCCGTGTTATAAGATTATAAGCATTATTAAATCAGTCAATAAATAGATGGCTTACTTGAAAACAAAACTCACGATACGCTTTGCGCGTCGAAATTGCGCGTCCTCTGCTCGAGCGATCTGTTCTGCTTGAGGAGGGCGGCATTCTGGTCTTGCAGGTCGACGATTTGATCCTCGAATGCTCGCACCTGAATAAAGTATTATTTTTGAAGTTTCTAGCGTTTTTCGCTTGTTTTTGGGTATACGATTTTTACAAAGTGGAAAAGTCCCCGTTAAATCGTCTAAAAATGTTCTAAACTTGATTTTCGCCAGAATTCGTGCCAAAACGAGTCAAAAACAGCTTGAAACAGATTCTTACAGGGTTTTTGACGTCCAAACGAGCAAAAGGTTTAAAAACTTCAACTTTTAACGTAAACGCGGACAAGGGTGTTCTTCGGGTAAAAAAAACCCAAGGAAAATGATGACATGCTAATTTTAGTTCTGGGTTGTTAGTGGGGGGTGTATTCTGACATATCGGCCCATATACCCCTAATGAGAACACACAATTCCCATAGTTGCTATCCAATTTTAAGTCGAAAAAATTAATGCATTTTTCGAAATTTATTGATTTTTTTTCAAAATGGAAGAAAAAAGTTAAAATTTCTCAATTTTGTAATCTTTTCCATGATTTTACTAGTCAAAAAAGCGCGAAATACTCTAAAATGGACTAAAAATTTGTCTAGGCAGGGTTAGGTAGCTCCTCCAGCTGAAAATCCCGCCCCCGCTAACAGCCTAGAACAGCGAATTTCGATTCGAAACCGTGATTTCAAAATGGATACTACCGACATTTGACGATGTTTTCTACTGTCGAATCGAGAATTTCAAGGGTTTTTTTGCCGCGTATTTGGGAGATTTTCCGTGGATGGGTTTTGCAAAATTTGAGGTTTAAACACTATGAAATTTCGGCGTTGTAAAATGTCGATATTTGGCGTAGTAACCCGCGTATGTCCGCTCCTACCGTATCATAATGGGCCGTAGCTTTCCCCCAAATCGGCTCCAAATAGTAGATATAATTGGATAGCGGGAGTAGGGCCATTTTCGTTCGTTCGAATGGAATGATGCTCTTGCAAAACCCTTTAACCCAAAAGACCCTCCCCCACTCAACGCCCTATCAAATAGTATTTTGTGTACAGGGGTGTACTGTGTACAGTGTACAGTACTGTACTGTACTGTACGTAAACATACAACCGTTGCAGCCAGCCATCTGTCGAACAAGTGGAGGGCAGCGAGACCAACAAAATGACAGACAAACACGAGAACAAGAAGACCCCCCGCTTTTTGCCTCTTTTGCGGGGGGTGTGAACAAAGGGCAAACAAGAGTTTGCGCACCCGCAAATAATTGCACTGATTATTTGAAAAGACCGCCCGGGTCCCGCCTGGAAAATGGCCAATTTTTGAATGCGGTGCTTGTGCATTACCGGGGGAGAATTGGGGGAAAATTCTTTTCACAGCGCCTTGAAAATGGCCAATTTTTCAATTCGGCTTTTCCATCCTCGGGGGGATTTATGGGGAATATCCGAATTTTAAAGCCGGGTCCCGCCTGGCAATGGCTGATTTTCGAATACGGTCCTTTTTCATTATCGGGGGAGGGGGGAAAGGATCTATGGGAAATATCCTAATTTTCAAGCCGGTCTAGCATGGAAATGGCCGATTTTTAATTGAGTTCTTGTGCATTATCGGGGGGGGAGGGATTTATGGGAAAATCCTTTTTACAGCCGGGTCCCGCAAATTGACAATTTTTGAGCTGGGTTCTTTTGCATTATCGGGGAGGGGGGATTTATGGGAAATATCTTAATTTTCCAGCCGGAGCCTGCTTGGAAAAGTGCCAATCTTTAATTCGGTTTTTTTATTTTGCACTATCGGGGGAGGGGGAATTTTTGAGGAAAACCCTTTTAAATGACCAATTTAAATTCTTAGGGCCGAAAAATGCCACTAAGTTTCGGTAGACCTAGTCAATTACGGCTTGGTACTTTTACATTATCGGGGGCGGGATCAACGTTTTCCTTTAGGTCTAGAAATGCTTATTAACGTATTAGTAGGTATTTTAAGAGTATTTTTTTGCAAAAGTTTACTATATTTCAGATAGAAAAACTTTCTAAACGCTTGATTTTTGGTGCAAAAGTGACAATTTTGGTCGAAATGTATATTTTTTTTGAGTATGAAAACCCATTAAGTCTAACAGTCTATTATAACAAAAAAATTGCTGATTTAACATTCTGCCACTTTAAAAATGCATAAACTTAACTAAATTATTGCTAAAAAACGCACCCTCCGCTGATATTGGGCCCTCAACTCTTCGGTCTCGACATCTCTCGCCTGGCTATTCCGCGACAGGTCATTCTAAACATACGGTAATGCTGGTGCAAAATAGAACAAATACCTTCATCCTCTCCAGCTGCATCTCCAATCGGGTCACATTTTGTTGGAGTAATTGTCGCTGGCCGGCCAGGTCGTCCAGTTCTTCCTCCTGAAAAAATGGGTTTTAAATGGAGCGTGACATCAAAGTCACTAAATTTCTAGCGGGGTAGCACAGAAAATTTTGCTGCCGCTGCCTCTTTAAAAGCCCAGCTTTAAAGGGGCGATCAAGGCATTTTTATCCATTTTCTAAGGAGTTTGCTACAACGCGGCACGCCTCGTCCGTTGATTGCGTAGATTTCCGTATAGATTTTGCCACCGTTTGAGGACACGCGACGCGCACGCCCACCGTTCCATCGCGTAATCGATTACGCCACTTTACTGCATCCGAGTGGCACGTGCGTTGCGTGTCGCGGGCGCGTACAAAACGTAAGGGAGCCATAGCGAAGCGTTAACATCAATTTCTTGTCCCTTTTCTATCAAAAACCCTGATTTTTAGCGAAATTAGGACATGAAATTCGCGGCAATTTCGCCTTTCTAAAGCAAAAAACCTTTTTCGACCTGATTTTTCCGTCTATTTTTACGAAAACTCTCCCTACCTCAACCGTTTAAAACGCCACCAACCTGATCGTGAAGTTTTGTCTCCATCTCCCTCTTTCCCTTCCGCAATTGGACCAGCTCGACCGCGTCCGCCGATGTCTCCCTACAAAAATTGGCATAACTTTCTTAGTTTCAAATATTTCATGACAGAAAATTTAGGGGTTATAGCTTGGTGTCTTCCGGAATTAGGGTTAAATTTTTAAAACAATTGAATGTAAGACGACAAAATGGTAAAGGAAAATATGAAGCAGTGGCTGGCGGAGCACGTCCCTGAATTGATTTAGGCCGTTTTTCTCGCCTTTTTAATTCAGGGCTGCTTGGGGGATGGATGGGTGTGGCTTGTGAGAATGAGTCAGAAAATGGAAAAATAAATATAAGGTACAAAAAACGTTATTTGGATGGCCTAGCAAAGGTTCTTCAGGAAAGTAACGTTAAAAATGTCTGAGAATCTTGAAAAGTCGGAATTCTTGGTCGTTTTGCAGGGATTCTTGAGGAAACCCATATGAACCCCTTCTAAAGGTGTATTAAAGTTGGAAATCGGGGCAAACTTGCCGAGATTTTTGAGGAAAACGACCCGAAAAAGTTTTCTAAGGTACAGGAAAGTCAGAAGTAGACAGAAAAGAGTAGTTCACGTAAATTAATAAAAATCTATAGAAAAACAGCAGAGCGCCAACCATAAATTCAAAAATTTTTCAAGGGCAGCCTAGCAGAAACCCTTGAGGAAAACGGCACTAATATCATTGAGGGCTTTTGGAGGGCAGCCTAGCAAAGATCTTTGAGGAAAATAGAAAAATACCGACCCGAAGAACAAAATTCAAGACAAAAAAACGTTCCGAAACTCTGTACGGCATCTGCCGATAGGAGCATTGTGTACCGGGGAGTGGTGAATTGGCAAAAGGGAGTATGCAAGGATGGCGGGGACGGACGGCGCACGTCTTCTTCTTTTTTGCTCTCTCTTTCTCGCTCTCTCTCTCTCTCTCTCTCTCTCTCTCTCTCTCTCTTCTGTGCTGTTATTTGCAGGTAGGATGAACGGGTCCCCGTCCTCCGCCCGTCCGACACTACGATACACACCAAATGCCCTTCTATACGCCGAAATACTAACACAAGAAAAGTTCTATTTTCCCAACAGATCTCTGCTATTAGCGAAAAAGTTGGTTTTGAGAATTCCTCAAGGAACTGCGCTAGCATGCCACCAAAATTTCGGGCTATACCGAGCTTTGCTGTCAAAGGACCAGCAAGCAAGCTAGTAGCGATTTTTGGGGAAGGAATTAGCACTTATCTCTTAGGGGGGGGCTAACTAACGGCGTTTCCGTAGAGAACGTACTCAGATGCACGAGAGAGAGAGAGCAAGAGAATGAGAGAGTGAGAACGAGCGAGAGATAGGGCGGATGAGAGAGCGTCAGAGAGAGAAAGAGCGACAGAGTGAGAGAGAAATTTCTCGCTTGGGGTCAATGAGCAAGAGAGTGAGAGAGTGAGCGAGAGCAGGAGGGAGAGAGTGGTCTAGTGAGCGATATAGAGTAAGATAGAGAGATAAGTAAGAGAGAGAGAGAGAGAGAGAGAGAGAGAGAGAGAGAGTAGGGGAGAAACACTAAAAGCTCGAAAAGCACTCACTTCTCCTGCGCCTCTTCTATTTCCCTCTTCAGCCGGCTGATGCTCGTTCGTAGCTCTTGGTTCTCCGATTTCAACGCCTAAAAGGCTTCTTATTACACCTTGGTGCTCAACCATCAAAAATCTTTTTTTTGCGTTTTAAAGGGCGCGACCAGGCATTTGGATTTGGAGTTTCGATACCCACCTCCGAATCGGCCCTCTTCCTCAGTAATGTCTGCTGCGCCTCATCCCTCTCTCGATTCGCCTTCTCCTTTCCGACCCTCTGCTCCTCGGCCGTCATTTGTACAGTACGGAGCTCCTCGTCGAATCTTGCCTGCTTCTTTTCCAGTGTTTCGTTCCGGGCTCGCGTTTCCTCGTGCTCGGCGCGCACCTGAAATACCGCATCTTGGAGCGGTTCGGTCAAAAAATTTTCCCTTCCGCTAAAATTTAATTCATATTCCGGCGTCATGGAGAAGTTCACCAGATTCTGCGTCTGGGTTTAAATACTGCCGGTCAGCGAGCAGTTCGTCGGTCTTTAGGCCCACATGCAACTACGTTAAGCCAACTACGCTACGTTTACTGGCTTTTTGAGTTAATTTTCAATGTGTTACGTCAGGGAGAAGTTCACTAGAGCTCTCGCTAAATTTAGCTTCAAAACATCACCGAGAAGTTCACTTTAGGTTAGGCATAAATTTAACCGACGTCATGGAGCAGCTCAAATAATTTTTAGACTGGATTTAAAAATACGGTGCGTCTTCTAGCAGTTCACTGTATTTTCCCTTTAAGTTCCGCTACACGGCTTCCCCGAGAAGTTCACTTAATGCTGATTAAAATGTTTTACTAGACGGCGTCACCTAGCGGTTCATTTGATTCATGCTCTACCAGGAAAATAAGCGCGACGTCATCAAGCAGTTCACTGATTTTTAGAGTTATATAACTCCGATAACTCCAACAATTACCTCAGCCAACTGCTGCACGGTCCGCTGCGTGTTCGCCTTGAGCATCTCCAGCTGTTCGAGTGTCTGTTCGAGCTTCATCTTCCACTCTTTCTCCCTTCCCTCTCCCTCAAGATGAGCAACAGATGATACTCTCGATAGTCTATCCCCATCAGCGGCTCTTCTCTCGACAACCATCCGCTGTTGACGCTCAGCCTCCAGTTCACCGCGTAGCTGAACAACTGCGTCGGCTTCTCGTCCCAGGGCTTCATCCATTTCCGAGCATTTTCCTTCAAGTCGGCACTAAAATAGGGATTTTAAGGGTATCGGAAGGGAAAGTTGTACCTTCTCCTTCTTGCTGACGGCCAGTTGGTGCTCAAGCTGGCGAACACGTTCAGCCCACTCTCGATGTTCGTCATCTACTCGATTGAGAGGGAGAAGGGGGAGTACACGAGTGTAGATACGCCACCAGGGCCATTCCCGGACTCGCATGTAGCTGAGACCATTTTTCTGAAAATTAGAGCTTGGGAGGCTTAGGAGGCTTAGGTGTGGACTAGGCTTCGTCAAGCTTCGATTTAGGCTTAGGCCTAGGCTTAGCTTAGCTTAGGCTCAGACTTCGGCTTAGATTTACGCGTGAAAATATACTTAGACTTCGATTTTTACCTAACTTAGGCTTGGGTTTTTTAGGCTTAATCTTCGGCTTCGGATTTGGCCTAGGCTTAGGAGTAGACTTAAGCTTTGCTTCGTTTTAGGCTTAGGCTGAGCTAAGGCTTAGGCTTAGGTTTAGCTGCAGCTCACTCCGCAAATTCCTACCTGTATGCACCGAATGGCGGTCTCGAGTACGCGACGCTTCTGAAGCCACTTGGTGGCGAGGTGACGACGGGCTTCTCGTTGAAAGGCGACGATGAGCCCCGAGAGACCGAGATCCCTGCGGTCTTCAAGCTCGGAAAGGACGTCGGAGCGGAGCAGCACCTGGATAAAAATGTTAAACGGGGTTTAAGCTGCATTTTAAGGTAATTTCCATAAGAATCCCTGCTAACCTGCCCTTCCCTCCACAAACCTGACTAATTCCGAGTCGATATCGATGTGCGTGAATATCCATCCGGTCCATGATCTTTTGAACGGCCGCTCGGTCTGAAAAAGAGATTTCTATTGAGTTTTGACCCTAAAATTACCATCCATTTCATCATCGATCGTCGCCGCCCCTTGGCCATCATCTGTTAGACAACCGAAACGACGCCGGAAATCACGGAATGACACGCGCTCGGGGTATCCTGGAAGAAAGAGCGTGGTTTAAGGGACGCGCAAGGCCAGATTATCGGTTTTAGCCATGGATTCGAAATTTTAAGAGCCCGCGCCAAGCAACGAGCCCGTTGCTTTGCCGCTGCTAAAAACGCGTAACCAATTACGCAATGAAATTCACAGTATGCTCAAAGCGACAGTACTCACCCCTGTTATTCGCTCTCACTGTGTCGATCAGCAGAATACTTCGCATTTGCCCCCTGACAAATGGCACATCCACCGGGTCCTGCGTCGAAAGCCCGGAGGCTAGCATCTGGAAAATCGGGTTTTTTAGATTTCTTTCCACAAACCTGTCCTGAAGAACCACTGTTCGGCGACGGCTGAATACAGTGCACGAAATGGGCACGGGGCGAGCGGCGTACAACGGAGAAGACGTAGTCCTAAATGAGAACTTTTTGGTTATGTAATGTATTCTATAATAGACATTTTAAATTACCTCGTATATACTTTAGCGCATAATTTTTATAGTTAAGAAAGAGTTTTAACGTTTTAGATACCTTTAAAACTTCATTATAGCTTTTTAGGATATCATTACGGTATATAAGTCCACATCTCTAGATTTGGATCGTAAAATCGGGGTTATTGGGGCGTTGATAGGTTGACGAGTACGAGCGACAACTAATGACAGTTTTTGAGCGGTTATTTGGATCGCATTGTAATTGAGAGAGAGGGAGAGAGAGAGAAAGCGAGAGAGAGAGAGAGGGAAAGAGCGACAAATACGATCCATGGATCCCGTATGCAAATGAGACGCCGCCCGATCGGCTGCCCCCGGTGTTTCGGGGGAATAGTGAAATCTCCTCTCTCTCTCTCTCTCTCTCTCTCCCTCGCTCTTTCGCGCTCTCTCTCTCTCCCGATATTGGCTGATATAGACAAGACAAGACATTTCCAACCCCCGGAGCTCGAATCAAATCCCCCGCGGCAGCCGGATTGGATTCTGGATTTTCGGGCTCAAATTTTAGGATTTTTCCAGGGGGTGGGAAACACCTGAATCTTTATGTTTCTGCGCATTAAGGTAAATAAAACAAGGGCAAAGAATCCGCTATTTTTAGGATCTCACCTCGCGAATTACATTGCCGTGATTACGGAAATACTCCACCATTCACCGAGTTTTACGGGGGAACCAGGTTTTCTAAAAAAATGACGGCCCTAACTGAGTACGAAAACAGAAAAAAAATAAGTATTTTAGAAAGGGGTAAATAGAATGAATGCTTCTCGAGGAACACGAGAATGTTGAATGTCAAACATTTATGAGGGGGGTGGGTTAATGGGCAGCACATTAAGGGGAATTATGGGGACGAGAGAGAGAGAGAGAGAGAGAGAGACAGAGAGAGAGAGAGAAAGAGAGGGAGAGAAAGAGAAAGTCAGATACTGCCAAGACAAACTAACGACACTTTCCCTTTCGAATAAATGATGTTTTGAGGGGAGAGGTAGGAAGCCGGCAATTTAGCAGAGATTTTTGAGGAAATTTCAGCTACAAGATGTCAATTCAACCAGGGCAAGCTAGCACAGAGTATTGAAAATTCAAAACTTTTCCTTAAAAGGTAGTAAGGTAGCAGAGATTCTTGGAGAATTGGGAGAGTCCTTGTCCTTACGCTGCTCCTCCAAAACCTGATTTTTCAGCGTGGGGCAGGCTGGCAGAGATCTTGGGGAATTGAGCTCATTTTTCTAAGGCATTGGGCTAGTTAGCAGCGATCCTACCGGACGAGAAAACAAGGACTGTTAAGAAATTGGCAGAATTTGCAAAGGTTGGGAAACCAGCAAAGAAATGTTAGGAAAGGCGAAATCTGGAATAGGAAACCGGCAATCCAGCAGGGATTCTTATCGAAAAAGACAGCTTTCAGAGGCGAAGCCAAAGGCATACGAGCAGAGACCATTTAGGACGAATCGAAAAGCTCAGGAAACTAGTAGAGATCCGTTCGAATGGATCAACGCGCTAATGGAAGCGAGCCGAGATCATTTAGGAAGGATCCGAAAGCTAAAGTAAGCTAGCAGATATTCTTTAGGACGGATAAAATCGCAAAGGCAAACTAGCAAAGACCTTTAGAATTGACCCGAGCCCCAAGGCTAACTAGCAGGGATCATTTAGGACGGATAAAATTGTTATAGCAAGCTAACAGAAACCCTAGAGAATTAGCCCGAACCCAAAGAAAAATAGCAGAGATCTTTTAGGATAAATCAAAACACCCAGGCAAGCTAGCAGAGACCCTTTAGCATTACCCCGAACTCTAGGCAAGCAAGCAGAGACCATTTACCCCAGCAAAAACCCCTTGGTACACCCACACAGATGAGGGACAAATAGCGATGAATGGTGGAGGGGAATACCCTTGTTGAATCTACGGATTCCCCCCCCCCCCTGCGGACCGTCATTTGTTGTTCGGCGTAATGGGGGCGGGGCGGGGCGGGTAGAGGGGCAAAAGCCTCGATTTACCAGCAAAAAAGCGTGGGCATCTTTGATGTTAAGGAATGAGGAATGGACCGCACTACTAGTGAAAAAGAGAAAAATTCGAGGTTTCGAAGAGAAAAAGGAAATGGCGAAAAATGGTTTCTTTATCGATTACCGTAGATACTGTAGATTGTTTCTTAATTGCGATCGATGACAGTACGATTTTCCCGCTTACGGTCGATTAAGGAATGTTTTGGATTATGGTAGACCACAGTACATTGCCTCTTGATTGCTATACATTTCAGTACGTTTTGGACCGGTTACGGTATGACAGGTTTTTACTGATTACGGCAGAAATGATCTGATTTTTACGGTTTTCGGGAGACAGTCTCACGTTTTTTCCATTTTCTACTGGTTACGCTAGGCTACGGTACATTCTATGCCCTTACCGTATCCTATAAGACGTTTTCTACTGATTACGGTTGTTAATAGTAATTTTTCCCGATGACGATCGATAATAATACGCTTTTGACGAATTTATGATTTTTATACACGAAAGTACGCTTTTTAATGGACTACGGGGGTTTACAGTACGTTCTATACGCATCGCGATAATTCATATAACCTTTCTTTACTGATTACGGCAGAATAAAGCCCAGTTTTATGATTTACGGTAGATGGCAGTACGCTTTTACGCCTGCATCTGTTCGGTGCATACCTTACTCATATTCACGCTAAAAAATCCGAAAACTCACGATCTGATGGGCAAGATTGGCGGCAAATCCGTGCTCTCGACGCCGTAGAAGCCCGGCTTGGTCGACTTGAAAATTTTGGTTTTTTTCCCGATTTTCTTGCTGTCCCTGTCTCTCTAGAGTCACCAAGATACATGGAGCGTTTTCAAGAGAATGAAACAAGAAACAAGAAAAGAACAAGAAACGCGTCGCAAAACCACCCATTTTCAAGGCACGAGCCAGGAAACTTACATGACGTAACGGATTGAGTAGCTCTGCGTAGCTTCAGATTTGAATCGCCGGCCGACAGTCCGCTCGGGGCAAGCAGTTCTCGCAGCGTGGCGCTAAATACAATTTTTTTGTCTTTTTCAGTCAGGTATTTGAAGGTATAATCGATTACGCAGTGTAATTGCGTTTCGCGTCGCGGAATTTTTAACCCACCTATTGCTGGCGTACAACAGTTTCCTCAGCCCAATCGACGGATCACTCGCTTGAGCCTGTCGGACCCAGCCTAAAATATTGGTATTTTGGTTACGGTAGGATGCGGTACCTGTAACATCGTAAGTAGTAGGCTGGGAATCGAGGCCGTGGGCGACGACAAATTGGCGTTGACGGGTGGCACGACGGATGAATCTGGAACGGCATTTTAAAGAAGCATGTTACGGTATGTTTTTTGCTGCATACGGTAGGCCTACGTGCGTTTTTTACTCCAGACGGTAGAGCGTAATGCGTTTTTTGGCTACGATAGTTTACGGTATATTTTTGTTTATCCTTTGCTACGGTAGTAACCCATTTTCTAGTTAAATACGCTATTTCTATTATTCGAATTGAATAGATTTATATTTTAAAGTTTTTAAACAGCTAAGTGCTAGCAAATGTGATTTGTAGTCTGTAGTTTCTCCTCGTAGCCGATACCTAGATTGGTCTCCAAGATGTATAAATATGCGATCGACAATGCTCTCATCAGTGGCACCCGGATAGCAGCTTTCCTCTTCGACAATCGGAAATACACCACGCATCTCGTCTGATCGACGGTCCACATCCGTGCAATTCACCTGGAAAATTGTATTTAAAGGGTTTTTAAACTAGAGATCCATTAAAAATTTGACTTTGACTTGACTTCCAGGTTCCTTTAAAAACTCTTAAGGATTAGGAGGCAAGCTAGCAGTGATTGTTTGAGAAATGGAGCCGAAATGGCGAGATATGTTAGCAGAAAGTTTTCGGAACCGGGTTAAAATAAAAATGTCGACGAAAAATGGCTCTTCAAAAATTCAGCTAAAAACAAGCAGGTAAACTAGCAGAGATTCTTAGGGAAGCTAGCAGAGAATCTTTGTCGGAACATAGAAAAGGCGGCTAGCAGGGTGAGGAATTCGTGCACAGATCGTCGGGGTAAGCTAGCAGAGATTCTTAGAAAAACGCGCGGGTAAAAAGTAGCTAGCAGAAACTCTTTAGGAATTTCAGTGGAAAGAGGCCAGGCAAGCAAGCAGAGATTATTTGATGCCTCACAAAATTCACGCCAATACAAGCTAGCATAGATCCTTGAGAAACAGGCCGTGTAGTTGCGTTTCCCGCCCTGTCACCATCCCTTTAAAACGACGTACCAAGTGCTGTTTCTGATCGAGCAGCCGATTCAGGGCGTGCGGTGATCCGAGCGGTTTTTCCACGTCCACATCCACTTGCTCGCGGGTGTAGAGCTAAAAAAATTGGCTTATCTTTCGGTTTGGGTGGCTTGGAATGGACTAAATCTCGGTTAAGTTCCCTACCTGATCCATCTCTGCAAATGCCTTATCGTGGAACAGTTCGGCCACGCGTTCATTCACGTAGTTGTACACGAGGTCGTTGAGGCCAGAGGCTCGTCTTCGGCCTTCTTCACCCCAAGCAGCGTTGAAATTCGCGCCCGGAATGTCGATCAGCTAAAAAAAAGCGATAGAGAGAGAGGAAGAGAGAGAGAGAGAGAGAGAGAGAGATTATGTGAGCGCTTATATACCTACCGTAACCGATGTGCAGGGCATATTGACCGCCAGCGCCGCGTTGATTGTATCGACCACCGCGCCGAACAACTCCGAGTATAGCGCTGCACAGAAGACGGCAAGCGCTTCGGGGCCCTCGGGACCACGGCTTAGCAGGGACATACGGCTGAAAGGAGGGAGCTTTTAAAGGGGGAGTCCAGGCTAGCTAATCTCAATGACAGGGCGAGCGAGAGAGAGAGAGAGAGAGAGAGAGAGAGAGAGAGAGAGAGAGACTACGTGAGATCGCCCTTAAAACCGACCTAAGCGATGAACTCGTATTCGACTGGGCGGCCCCGGTAGATGACCGGAAGATGGTGGTGGCCAGCTCGGCTTCACTGACTCCAAGCAGGGCAGCTGCTAGTCTTGCGTGAGCTGCGCGAAGGAATTGGGAACGTTGCGCCGGGCCGGGCGAGGCTTCGGCTCTAAAAATCAGGGGTTTTGGACGGTTTGAACGAGTTTTAAAGGGACGTGCAAATCATTTTTGGCTCTGGACAGGGTGGGCAAAAAAAAAAGATCCGAGTTTGGGTCAAAATATCTCGCGAACGGTAGAGAATCGAAGGTGCGTTACCGTGCCAGAATGCTTAAATATGCTGGGTATGAAGATTTAACACAACTTGATTTTTTCGATTTTTGGCGACGTATCAATACAAATGACGCCCGAAAACTGTGCGTTCCGCAAAACTTCATTTGCATTTTTCTTAGTTTCCTGTGGTGGCTGGGTTCTAATTTTTCCTATTTAAGTTAATGTCGGTAGTAGATAGGCACCTACAAAATTTAAGAATTTTTGAGGGTCTGGTTGAAAAGTTCGAGAGGAATGATATTTTGTATGGGGAAATTTCGTAAATTTCGAAAATTACAAAAACCTATGGCCAAAACATCAGAATAAGTTGTTGTAGAATAACTACGGACCTTATACAACCGCTTAAATACACTTAAAAAATTTTAGTGATCGATGAATTTTCGAGTTTTTCAACGACCCCCGGGTCATGGATTTTTCGAGGTCTCGAAACCGGACTTTGGAAAAATATTTCTAAATTGCCAAAGGGGACGCAGCTATTTTTTTTGCTTAGCTATGTAGGACTGGGGTTTATAAATCATCTCCAAAATTCCGAGCTACCGTACCCCTTTGGAAGGGCGCCTTTTAGGGCCTCCAAAACGGTTGATTCGTGCTTTTTTCCAAAACCCGCTAACAATTTATAAATTTTAACAGTGCTATGAAAATTGTCATTTAAATTTTATCAGATATTATTGGAATAGCGCATCCTAATGCCAAGTTCTCGAATTTATTTGACCAGCCGTTGGCGACAAGAAAATCCATCAAACCCCGAAATAAACCGAATTCGAAGGGGCGTAAAAAATTTTTGGAAGGTGAAGTCGCCAGGAACTTTTCACCAATAAATCTGTGGTATTAGTTAAATAAAACTATGCAAAGATTAAAACAATTTAGCGTCGAAAAAATTTTACGAAGAATTTTAAACTTCGGTTTTAGAACAGGGTGATTTTCCAATTTTGGCTGGAAGTCACCATAATTTTGAATCAGATTGCTCCGGAATTCGACGAGCGTAAATAAAAACATCAAATCTTTAATCGTATCCCTAAGATCCAGGTGGTTTTTTTATTTTTAAAAATTCGAAAATTGACTCGGCTACTCGGACCCAAAATCGGCTCTCTGGCCTTGTTTTGCACTTGGCCTCGTAACTTTGTTATTTACCACCAAAACTCAGTAATTTTTGACAGGCTATCTTACAATGACCTCTAGAAGGCCCTCGACTTGAAAAATCGTCAGTTTATGGAATTTTGTGATGGCATGCTAAAACGCGCTCCACGTGGGTTACTGTAGAAAACCGAAATTCGCGATTTTCGTGGTGTTTTTGCCATGGAATCGCTTCGATCTTTCGGTAAAAGCAATAGTAGGAGTTTTTGGTACAAATGTCCAAAAAATTTACAAGATTCTGTGGCAGAATTAAAAAATCAGTTTTTAGACTTTTTCATGTAAGTTTGTGGATAGTACGCTTTCGTATTTGGTAGCAAGGTGCCACTACTTATTGCCTAACAACCCAAAAAATTTCGGCCGGATCGAAGCTAGGGAACCCGAGAAAAGCGGGAAAAACGAAACCTACAGTACCCCGCTGGGGCACGTTTTAGCAAGCAATACAAAAATACCATAAATTGTTTGGTTTCTGGTGTGGGATCCTAAATGATTGTTTGGATAATTCATTGGCAAAAAAGCAGCCATGGGCAGTGAGTTAGAAGCGAGTTATCACTCAAAAAACAAAAATAACGAAAATTCGCAAAAGCAGATTTGCTTTAAAAAAATTAAATTGACCTCGATAAATTCTAAGATTTTGCCGTTACGTTTCTACAAAATTATACTATTTTTAGGCCAAAAATCAGAATTTTCCCACCACCCTTTCAAGAACGCACAATTTTCGGTCGTAACCAGCGTCAATAGTACAGTTTCGTACCCAAAAATCGAAAAAATCAAGTTGTGTTAAATCTTCATACCCAGCATATTTAAGCATTCTGGCATGGTAACGCACCTTCGATTCTCTACCGTTCGCGAGATATTTTGACCCAAACTCGGATCTTTTTTTTTGCCCACCCTGGATATGCTACGGAATGTGCCAAGGCCCGCCTCAACGCCGTAAAACGCGATTAAAAGCTGAGCTGTGCGTTGCGCGTCGCGGCCGCACAAAATTCATATTTATCTCTTTCCGGTCCCTTTAAACCCAAAAAATAAGAAAATTCATTCAAACCTGCAAAGGTGGAAAAGAGCGCCCAGCAACGAGCAGATCGCATCGATTTGAGATCGGTTGAAACCGAGGGATTGGAAGGCTTCGAGTAGACGACTCCAACCCTGGAAATATCAAAAAATATATTGACTAAATTTGTCTAAAAATCCAGGCTTTAATTAACTTGGAAGAGTCGTACCTCGATGTACTGTTGACGGGCCTCGCCGCCCGGTATCGGCCCAATCATTGGGGATTCGATCGAATCGAGGCCAAGTCGTTGGCGAAGCTCGGCATCGGCGCCTAGAAAAATGACATGCCACAACGTCGTGCATCGTAAATATTTATTATCTTAACGTTAATAGCCATTTTTCACATGGTTTTAGAGCCCAAAAAATTTCTTTGAACTTGTCTATCATTTTAAACCGAAAAATTTGCTATGGATGGTTTTGTAAAATCACGATTTTTTTCTTCGATGGCACAATTAGACCGACCCAAATAATTCCGCTAAATCGGCTATTTAAATTCAATTAAACTCAAAAAAACTCTCAAAAACTGACCGGCCCACAGGTAGTAGAAGACGTGGAATGAGGATTCTCCTTCGGGCCTCTTCACCACACGATCACTCTCCAGAAGGCAACATTGGATTTTTGCGGTTCTAAAAATCGAGGTAGAATTTTAAATCTAATTTAAACTACTATATTTGTAACTTTTTTAATTAGCCCTATAAAATATAAAAACAATTACATCGTTAAATTGACTCTTTTTTAATTCTTTAAAAGCCTCACCTCAACGCTGCTGCCTTATCAAAGCCCAGCTGGAACATTTGGACAAATCGGGTCGAGTCTCGATGCAACGTCGTCGAAGCGTTGCCGAACGCCTCGAGGATATTGAACGCGTCCGCGATTTTCGGATCTAAAGCTAAGTTATAACAATGAAATCTATACTCTACGAAAATCTAATTTAACTGATGGATTTTTACATTTTTAAATATATTGTTCTGGCTTAATAAGTCGACGATAGAATAACTTACAGGGCAACGTCTTGGTCCAGCCAGCCACTGCCGCCAGGTACTGTACAAACGAGCGGAGCTGGGCGGATTTTCCGGATCCGGAAACTCCGGTGAAGAGCACCGCCTGCGGGCTTGCCGTCATTTGGATGTATCTGGAAATTTTGGGAATTGATTCCGAGGTATAAGACATGTTTTGAGCGCACAAAAATCACCTGTAGACCTGCTGGGCCGTCGCGTAGATATGGGGCGGCATTTGGCCACGGCGGCAACCCTGGAAATGGTCAAATGATCGCTTGCCTCCTGGCCTAATTCCCTTAAAGGACTCCGCTAGTTTGCTCTTAAATTTGTCTGTCTCTCTGTTTCCTGTTCCTCTCTCTGGCTCTCCCCTCTCACTCTCCCTCCCTCTCCCTCTCACTCTCTCGCTCTCCCTCTCACTCTCACTATCTCGTTCTCTCTTTCTCTCTCTCTCGCTCTCCCTTTCGCTCTCCCTCTCCCTCTCTCTCACTCTCTATCTCTCTCTTTCTCTCTCTCTCGCGCTCTCTCTCCCTCGGCCTCTCGTATCTCTCTCTCTCTCTGTCTCTCTCTCTCTCTTTCTCTCTCTTTCTCTCGTTCCCTACTTCCCCCTTTCCAAAGCTCTCTCTGCCAGCCGCCCGTCGGCAACGATCTCCTCAAAGTTCCCTGCTAGCTGACCCATCTCCAAATTCCTCAAAAACCCCTGCTAGCTCCTCGTTTTCCCAAATTCGCTCCGCTAGCTGACCCACCTTAAACAGCGTCAACAATCTCTCTTGAACCCCGGGTTCCTGCGTCGTTGCCAGACATATCAAAGACGCACTGCCGGCATTTGTATAGCACAGATTGCTGCCACCACTGAAGTTGAAGGGCGATTTCTAGAGGGTGAGAGCATCAACTGACCGTTGCCTCAGGAGATGCACAGCTCCAGTTTCGTTGAGGTATCGGAGTTGAGCAAGATCTGGGGCTCGATCAAGGCGAGACGGATTGGCACGGTCTACGTCTGTTGGGTCGACTGTCATTTCACGGCCTGGAATGGAGGGGTTTTAAAGATGAAGTGACAGGGAGAGAGATGAGAGAGAGGGAGAGAGAGAAGGATAGATAACGAGAGTGAGGGAGGGCAACAGAGCGAAGGAGCGAGAGAGAACTGATAAGTAGAGAGAGAGCGAGAGAGAAAGAGAGACAACGAAAGATAGTCTGCGTGAAAGATATTAGTGCAAGAGAATCAGGGAGAGAGCGAGAGAGAGCGAGAGAGAGACAGACAGACAGACAGAGTCGGAGAAAACTATCCAAACTCACCAGCCACAGCGACCAATGCCCTCCCATCAGGTAGATGTTCCTTCAACCTAGCCACCGTATACCCTCCTCGATGTATCAGCCAATATCTCTCATCCTCCGGAATATTCTAAAGCATTTTTCTGTCCCTTTCCATTCCAATTCCAATACCTCGTGCGCATTTGTGTCAACATCAGTCAGGAGTAGACTATCCCCAACATCCCTCGGCCCACGGTGACGATCGCAGAATTCGGCCAATTCAGGTACGGAACGGACGGTTAGGGCTGAAATTCAGGTTTTTTGGTGCTGGACTTTTAGCGGGGGGGATTGGCAGGGATGAAACCAATTTTCCCGGTCCCTTTAAAACCTGTAAACTCACAAATAACATCTCCAGCCTGTCGTACGACATCGTTGATCTCATCCCGATTCAGGGCATCCACTCGTTTCCCATCGATTTCGACGAGTTGATCGCCGGGGAGGAGGCCTTTTCTGAAAATTCAGGCTTATCCCACAGGGTAAAAAATTTAGTAATTTATTTTTGTAAATTTTCAGATTTAAAAAGCCATGATTACGGTAGTAGAGAAAACGCTCGTCCAATTTCCGGTTTATAAGCATCCTCTAAACCACTTACTTAATATCATCCGGGCGTGGCGGGCCGGGCTTTATCTCGGACGGCTCGGCGAACACGATCGTCTTCAGCACGCCGTTGAACGGAAATTGCACGCGCCGGATTGTGAAGCCGAAATCGCCTAGAAAAGGAGGAGTTTTGCAAAAATTAAATCTAGAAACAGACCCGCTAGGCCTCGTTTGAGCTGGAGACGTCGTTGGTTGACTTGGACGGCTTGGAGAGCTGGTAATTTTAGGCCAGGAAGGTCGAAATCCTGAAAAAAAAATAGATAGAGTTCTCTCTCTCTCGCTCTGTCTCTCTCTCTGTCTCTCTCTCTCTGTCTTTATCTCGCTCTCTCTATATTGCTCTCTATCTCGCTCGCTGTCTCTAGATGCCTGTCTATCTCTCGCTCACTCTTTCGTTCTCCCTCTCTCTCTCTCTCTCTCTCTCTCTCTCTCTCTCTCTCTCTCTCTCCCTCACCTTCAATGCCCCAAAAACAGCGCTTGAATGTGGTTGAGTGGGCGACAGCGGGTCCGTATTCACAGCTAAAACTTGGATTTCAGTTTCAGATTCCAATATTTTCTAAAAACCTGCAGCTGCCCCACAGGCCTCACACTTTCCAATGCTCTCATTCCCGTCACTGCCGGCCAACCATTTTGAGACCGTATATATCGTGTGTGACGTGATACCAGAGATCGGATGGGCCATCTGGCGCCGAAAAAAGAGGGGAAAAATTAACGTTAAAATCGAATCGAGAGGGAGAGAGAGAGAGCGAAAATTTTCCAGGTAGTTTCCCGGTCTTAAACAAATTCTAACGTTAGATAAAACCAGAGAGTGAGCAGGAGAGGCAGAGTGAGAGAGACAGGAGGAGACAGAGAGCGAGAAAGAGAGCGAGAGAGAGACAGTGGTGAGAGAGACGAGAGAGAGAGCCAGAGAGGGAGAGAGAGAGAGAGAGAGAGAGAGAGAGAGAGAGAGAGAGAGGGAGAGAGAGAAACAGTCCGTAGCGCAGATTATGCCCGTACCAAAAGCAAGTTCCCTTCCTCCCCCGGGCAAACGCCCCCCTCGCCCCATTTATATGCAAATCAAAGCCCGGATTTTGGTCAAAATCGCAGCATTCTGAGGGGATCGACGCCATTAGAGGGATGGGAACAATACTATAAAAATCATATGGCAGGGCGCAAAATCCATAAGGGATCCATTACCCAAATTTTATGAATGCCTTGCACGGTCCTTTAAAGGGATGAGGGACGTCAGAAAATAAAATTTTAATTAAAAGTTATTAACGTAGAAAATTATGGCTTGAAATGACGCGTCGATAGTGTGATGTGGAATGTGAGGGGGTAGAGGGTCTCTTCTGAAGACTTTTGATGGGGGTATCGAGAAGGCGATCCCCCGCAACGCTCCCGTTAAAGATGCGAATTGCAAACCGGAGGAGAGAGAGAGAAAGAGAGAGAGAGAGAGAGAGAGAGAGAGAGAGAGAGAGAGTGAGAGAGCGGCGGCCAATCTTTGGACAAACAGACAAACACACCCCGGGGGGCTGAAGGTGAGGATGGTCACAGGATGGTCAAATTGCTGGCCGGCTACTTTTCACTAACCTATTTCGTACATAAATTTTCTTAATTGACCTATTTTTAGCAATTGTAGCGTAACCTTGCTAATTTTTGAATTCTTATATTTTCTCACTTGAATTTAAACTTGTTTAAGGTTTCTTAAATTTAAAAACTTTAACAGACAGTTAATCCTCCTCGAAAACTGACCATTCGAACTCTGCAAAAAAGCCTGCATCCGCTGGGCGAACGTCTCCTCGTCCCTGCCATTTCCGTAGTTCAGCTCCAGCGGTTGAGGGCCTAAAAATTATACTTTGTCTATTTTTTTGCTTTAAAGCCTGGCAAGGCATGGATTCCGTGTGGATAAAGCTGCCGTAAGCGATTACGTAATAGAGGCCGGGCGCTTTTAAAGGAGCTGGCAAGGCTTGGATTTTCTATGGATTAGGCGATACGCAAAGCACGCGGTTTTCCATTGCGTAATCGATTATGCGAGCTATGAACTGTCGAATTGACGCCCGCGTTGCATATAGCGTTTTTGGGAATATCGAAAAATCGGTCTTTTTTAAAAAATAGGACTGAAACTTTTTCCAAAGATTTTCAAAGAACCAGGGTTTTTTGATTTTTTTGGCTAACTACCAAGAATTCAGCCATTTTAAGAAATTTTTGGCGAATTCTAAAATTCTAAACGCACCTGGGTTAGTACTGGCTCGACTGCGCGTCGAATCGTCGAGATTCTGGCTGGAGGAGACGGAGGATGAGGGGAGTGGCTTCGTCGGCTCGGCGGGCGGTGGACCCTCGCGACTGTTTTGAGATGAGCCTGAAATCGGATACCCTAAACGTTATAAAAACGTGTCTGGAAAATCCCCTATCAGAATACCTGACATTAATTCCATCCAAAAAATTACATGACATCTGGAATTTCCAAGAAGTCGATAAAATTTTGAAAATCTTGATTTTCACGCCGTTATAAATGGTTCTGGACTCTTAGCGGGGAGCTAAATTTTTATTTTCGCCTATCTACATACCGGTTAATAGGATAGGATTGCATTTTTATCACCGTGTTCGTAGTTTTCGATCCCTAGATAGCTATGAAACTATGCTTTTGTGAAATTGAGATTTCTTATTTTTTGTCATCGTTCATATACATAGTTTTGAATTTTATCTGCTTTTCCTATCTAAAAGCCTTGTAAGGTACTATAAAAACACCCACCCAACGAGAAGAGCTTGTTCCGCTTCGGGGGCACCGGCGGCTTTTTGGCCACCACCGGCATCTCATCCTTGTCTTTGTCCTTTTTACGCGAAAATAGCGACGCCATCTGCAAAAAAGGGGTTAATGCATTTAGGACAGTTGAAAGGCTGAAAATCCTAAACAATTTTTATACGAACAAAAATAATCCGAAAAATAGCCTATAGTTGTTCGAATACCTCAAGCCTAAATATCTAAATAATTAGAAATAGATATTAAACATGTTTTTGAAGTTTTAATAAGGTTTCTTTGCGGCTATAACCAAAAATTCGATCAATCGATCGCCCAAAACTTCCGCTCCCGAATCCCAATACCCAATTTACTTGTTTTCCTTCGATTTCCAAACACTTTTCAAAAAATCCGCTACGCCATGATCCAAAACACGGGCTCCCGGCACGGAATTTGCACGCGTAATGCCTGGCGGAAAAGGTGTTCAAATGTGCCGGTGTCAAGGCCAAAGGCGAAAAGAAGGGAACAAAACAATGAATATGAGGTGTTAGAATGTTCATTACATGGTTGATACTACGGCGCATTTCATAAAAGACGGTCAACACCGTCCATTACGCAATTTTAAAAGGAAGGAAAAACGTAAAAACCCCGAAAAACATGAATTACACTGAGAAGCTAAAGCCTCAAGCATCAAAACCAGAGCATTGAAGAGCTAGAGATCAAAAATGCATTTGAATTAGTTTTATTGGGCCAAAGGTTTCGATTTAATCTAATGAATACAGAGAAAAATATGGTTTTTCACCACAAAAGACAAAAAGAAATTTGGCGACCAATTTCCAAACATCTATATCCGTTTTTGCCATCCAAACAGGGTAAAAATAAAAGTAGAAGAATTTTTATTGGCAAAAAGCAAGAAAAAGAACGTCAAAAATTGGACACGATTTTTGATTAAGATTTCAAATTTTCAAACAAATCTTCTAAACGGCCTTATCACTTCCAAAATTGCTAAATTTCACCAAAAACACAATTCAAAGAATTGCTAGAAATGTCCTAGCAATTTGTAGAAGAGATTCTGGGTTTTCGGCATTAAAATAGAATTCCGGACGTTGAAGGCGATCAAACAAAAGTCGCCAGAAGCTATCCGATTACGGTGTTAAAAGATCAGATTAGTTTAGAAAATCGTGAAAGCGCGTATAAACATTAAAAGGCATTAAAGTATGTACAGCGCGAAATAAAGGGATTTTTAGCGCAAGGTGGGTTTTTGGAAAACGGGAAAGTATCCGATTTTTTGAAGAACTAGCAGATCCGGGGGGTTCCGGAGATTTTGAAGTAATTCTAGACGTCGAAGCCGGTCGGTAAAGCCGAAAATCACACGTAGAAGAAGAAGAAAAAGCGCCCCTGGGGGGTCCGTTTCAAAAAAGCGGGCGCTCACACTTGTTAGAGGGGAGGAGGTGGAGAGTGCGGTGGGGTGGTTGGAGGGGGGTTGTGTTCGCTGTAAGTGGGGCGAGAGAGAGAGAGGGAGAGAGAGAGAGAGAGAGAGAGAGAGAGAGAGAGAGAAACACAACCTGGTCAGTCAAAGGTCGTGCGTGTGCGCAAGCCGCCTCACAGCAGCCGTCCTCCCTAAAATGGGTGGGTGAGGTGTGTGTACGGGGGAGAACTGTGGACAGGAGGCCGGGCCGAGGGCGGACATCAAAGCATTCACGGCTCGTTCACACCGTTCTATCGGGGGACTGTCTCGAGACAGCCCTTCCACATCACCCGAATCTTGAATCTCGACAACCTGGATGGATGAGACGACTAGATGGATTGCGGATCTACGCATCGCATCTACCGACACGCACACAAAAAGGATCGCTTCGCAGATGTCGAAAATTGGGGCTGGGTATTGGCATGCAGATTTCGTGTTTTGGCCTTGTTCCTAAGCCTGCCTCGCAATCTTGAAAGCTCATTTTTTAGCCTGAGCCGGTGACGCTGCTTCGAGTGGCCAGGTGCCAGCTGTAACTTGCAAAGGATCGCAACAAAGTTGGAGCCCGCATAGGCTTCGTGTCGCTTCGTTTACAAGCTTACAAAATGTTACAAAAACAAGCTTGCTAGCTCGCTAGGCATCTAGCCCCATTTTTGAGCTTTAGTAGAAAAATTGAGGAATTGGCTTCGTCATAAAGTGCTAGCTTAGCTAGCTTTGTCATAAAATGCTAGCTTGAGCCGCTAGCTTCGCAAATAAGTCTGCTGCGCAAGCCCGAGCCGCTATCTGCATTCTCAACCCTTCGTTAGCGATTAGCTTCATTTTTCACGGTTTCTCAATTATCGGGGCGTTGGGTTGACTTGCCATGGGCTTAAATTGGCTTACGCTTCGCCTAGAAATGGTCGTCAATGAAGCGAAGCTACGGCTTGGTTTAGCTTCGTGGTAAGCTTAGAAGTTAAAAAACGTAAGAATAGTATATGCCAATGGCATAATGCCATGCAACTTTCAAGGTGGGGACGAGCCAAATACAGCCTGCTGATTGCCACCGCGCTGTTTGAACATGCAAATCTCGCCCCCACCCCCCATTTTTTTGGGGCTTGAGTCAGCGGTCACTGTGAAATTTCGATATTTTCCATGGCCACTAACTAATCATAAAAATGTTTCATCATAAATTTTTGTCAATTCATAATTTTGTCGAAAAGCCGCATTGTTGGTACTTGCTTTCACAAAAACTGTGGGGTTCCGGTCAAGGAAAAACGGTTTAGAAACGCTTCCGGTTTAACAACGTTATAATGAGGGATTACAACTTAAAAATGCCCCCTCCCCGATAATGCAAAAGTGAAACACGCACGCTATGGAAACGTGGCGTGCGCGTTGCGTGTCGCGGCGCGGAAAAAATAGAAAATTCTATTGAAAACATTCGATAAAAGGCAAGAAATTCCCTGGATAAAACGAGACTTTTTACGTGCTTCGATTCACGCGGCCATTCATTGCAAAAAGGGTGGGAAGGAGTGGAATGTGCAGAGGAGGGTGAGGGAATGATTGGGAAGGACAAGAAGACGTCGAGAATGCTGTGGGACCCGCGGGGGGGGGGGGGAAGGCGATAAAAGGAACTGTGTCAACACACGCACAAACAAACAAACATACATACAAACAGACATACATACATACAGAGACATACAGAGGGAGGAATCCGTGGGTGGGCCATTCAAACTTTTTCAGGGAAAATAAGGAAATTCTGCCGTACAGTTATCACCTAAAAACACCTAAGATGGTTCTCGCATTATCGGGGGACCAGCTGTTTTCTAACGATCCAGTTTTTCTAAAGGAACTCGACCAAGCTTTTCTGTTATACCTAATACGATATGTTAAGGTAAAACTTTAACATTTTTCTTAAAAATACAAAAATCTCGATTTTCCCACAAAAGTGGCAAAATTTTGCTTTCGAAATTTTTCTAAGTTTCTTTTTGTTTGTTTTTCCACTTAAAATAAAGCTAAATTTCACTAAAAATTCTTAGTTAAAAATTACTATAAGGTTACTAGTCATTATATCACCGAAAGCCTAAAAATTTTCACATTTTCGGCTTTTTGGTCAAAAACTGTATGAAAAATGCCCGAAAAGGGTAAAATTAGAAATTCGAAAATAAACAAAAAAGTATTTTTTTATGACTTTCTACCAATCAAAAGCTCCGAGAAAACACCATAAAAATACATTATATATTCTCAACAAGTAGGATAGCAAAAATCCGTAATTACGAAACGTCCAGCCTAGAATGAAGACGGCGGATTAGAAATTATGAGGCTTTGAGGAAAAAACGTTAGTAAGCAGTTAGCAAGAAGAAAGTCGCGATTTTCTTCTGTGGCTTATCGAACACTTTATGCCTCCCCACCTGTCGCATCCTATTCTGCGAATTTTTCTTATCTTTCTCCGCCCTGGCCATCCAGGAATTCGCCATTTTAATGACGAGGAATTTCGCGTGTTCGGGGATCGAACAGGGCGCGATTTTGATTTTTCAGCAAGGGCCACAGCAACCAGAAGCGCTACAACAACCCAGAACTCTGGAACCAGTCAAAATATAGATTTCAGTGCTGGGTCATTAGCGGGGGAGCGTTAAAAGAGCTATGAATCAGCTGTTTTAAAACCGTAGAACACCTCAAAATTCAACAAACTTTCAGGTAGAAAGACAATTAAAAACTTGGAAAGAGGTTTTTGGTCCAAGTTTTGAGCGGAAGTCTTCTGTTTTTGGTGAAAAATCTAATTTTTTGATATTTTTTTGATAAATTTTGCTAGTACAAAACAGGTTAGAAGATGTAAGGAACAAGTAGATAACTTTTCGCAAAAACCTAAGGTTTGCAAAAACAGCAATAAATTTGCATCAAACGATATTTTGCATCTTTTCCAAGCCTTTTGGAGAATTGAGGTTGAGGTTCGGAAACAGCTACTTCCATTCCGACAACCAGACTGCTTCTACTCATCCATCGATGAGACGTCGTCATCGGCGGTTGATGGATGATGCTGGCTGGAGGCGGATCATCTACTCGTTCATCTTCGCCCTCTTCTTCACCGTTAATGTCAACGCCGAGTCGTCAGTTTATTCTGCATTTCTCGGGCAATGGAAGTGATCGTGACTCGTAGAAAGTTGCAACCTCTTGGAAACGTCTTGAAAATTATTTTTTGGAAGCATCCATAGTCGTCGGTCATAGTTCAGGCCACCACTGAAACATGGGAAAATTGCGTTATATGGTCACTAAACAGATTTTGGATTTTTATATACCAAAATGCTCAGCAGTTCGAGCTGGTTCAGGATCAGTTGAAAAAACTATTGGGAAACACTTCTGGAGCGAGTTATAACACTTCAAAGTTGGCGAGTGTCGTATATGGTCACTAAACGGATTTTGGATTTTTAGATGTCAAAACGCTCAGCAGGTCGAGCTGATTCTAGAACAGTTGAAAAAACCTTTGGGAAAAATCTCTGACGCGAGATATCTAGCTTACAAACCGTCCATTCAGCCCCTGAAGTAGTACGCAGTACACCAAAATACGCCAACTGTACATAGAAAAGAAACGGAATGGTGGAGAATTGTCGTTTCAATGGTAAAAAAAATACATTGTCAGGCAAGGTGGGCCGTCGCTTCGGATGGGCTGCCGCTCCACTCTT